GTCGCTGGGCGCCCGCGGAGTGGTCCGGAGGAGAGGCTGCCCCGGGCGCAGCGGGGGAAAGTTTCGGAGCAAAGCGCAGGAGGGTGAGGCTGCGCCCGTCTCCAGTGCGCGGGAGCGGCCGGCCGCGGGGCAGCGGGCGCGGGGAGGACCGGCACGGACCCGGACGGACGCACGGACAGACGGGGGCGCCCACGGCGGGAGTGCGAGCTGGGCTGCGCCCCGCAGGTGCCCGCTCCCAAGCCCGCGGCCGGCTCGCGTGCCCGGAGAGAAGGGGAGCGGGCAGAGGCGGGCCGAGCGCACCCGCGGCCCCGCGCGTCCGCGGGACCCCGCAGCTAGGATTCCGGCAGGACTTGCTGCCGGCGTCCTGGGGGCCGTCGCGGGAAACGGGGCGGTGGGCTTGACCCCAATTTGACTCGCCCCCAGGCCGGGGCTGCTCTGAGACGGAAGCCGGTGCAGGCTTGGAGCTTGGAAAAAGGAGGACACCACTTCCCCATGAAGACCGTTCCGCTCCTGAGAACTTACTTAGTGTTGTTACCGAGGAGGCTTGCCAAGCCGTGCCCTGCCCGCCCTGGGATTTGCAGATGAGCTTTCCAGAAGCGCTGCGTTGGCCACGGTGGCGTGCAGACCCACTCTGGGAGAGGTGCGGTTTCTAGAGCTGCGCTCTGGTCTCTTAATTTTTCCTATTGCCCCCTTCACCCCTACCTGCCCATGCATACCTTTAAGCCCCCTTTTCTCTCATTTTGGGTAAGTTATCATTACCTTTTCCCAAACAACACTTCTACCATAAAACCAAACTTGAAGTATTTTGAGCTATGTTTTGAAGAATAAAGTCACAACATTCACCTCTTTTCAAAATATGCGTATCTTTCTTTTGGTTGCAGTTCTCAGAAGAATAAAGTCTTAAACTGAACTATGCCCTCTGATTATCAGAGTCATGGAATTCTCCTCTTTCCCGGACTTCAGATGCTACTTAACTGGTACCAAGTACCTCTCCACTGCAGTTTTGATACAATTATTTTGAAGAACGACGTTCCTGTATGTGAAAGGTTAATATTTCCAGGAAACGGACAAATCAAGATTAATTACAGGAAGACCATAAGTGTTTTTCTGAATAAGATGCAGGGTTCAGAAAACTTCCAAATAGGGAGGTATTCTGTTTTTTAATACCTGTCAAATTTGAGGAGATGTCTCTTTTGTAAACTTAAGAATTGTATTACTTTCTTTCTTTTCGGATGTTACAAAGACAAGATTATATTACCTGAAAGGAAAAGTGAGTTTAATAGTTGAAACAAGTTAACCTGATATCACCAATGTTCACTTTGAATTTTTCCTGTTGCAGATTGGGGCGGGGATGTCCCAGAAACTGAACTCGGAGCCTTGTGCTTGCCAGGCAGGCGTTGTGCCCCTGAGCTATATCCCCGGCCCCTATTGCACATTTTGTGTTCTCTTTAGAAAGGCTTCATCTAAGGTCGGAAATAGTGCTGAGCAAGTAACAAACCCCAATTAGGCTGAGCCTGATTCTTAAAGCAGAAATGATTCAGATTAATGCTCACAAAACACAAGGATGGGGGGCCAAGCCTAATTAAATAATTTGTTTTTCAATGATTCTAGAGCTCTGAGTGTCTGGGACATGAAACTTCTCAAAACTGAAAGTGTTCTTCAAACAGTATCAGAAACAATGTTAAATACCGTAGCAAAAAATTCAATCAGTCTAAACTCAAGCTTGCTGGATGTGGTGGCACACACCCGTAATCCCAGCACTGCGGAGACTGAGCCAAGAGGATTGCTGGGGGTTCGAGGCCAGCCTAGACCACACAGTGAGGCCTTGTCTCAGAAAATCAACCAAACCAAATCAAACCGCGAAAAACAAACAAAAACAAAAAACCCTCAAGAGCTTTTTCTAGTTCTGCATTTAGTCACTTTTTTCCTAGTAGTTGAATGAATCGTTGCCATCCAGCCTTCTGTTAAATGTTTTCCTTTATTTCCTATTTTAAAATTAGCTTGTCATGTTTTTAATCTTTTTTTTTTTTTTTTTTTTTTAGGCAGGGTCTTTATGTAGTTCAGGTTGTCCTGGAACCCACTATTGTATGTAGTCCAAGCTGGCCTTGCACTCTCGGCAATCCTCCTGCCTCTGCCTCTGGAATGCTGGGATTACAGGCATGCGCTGCCATCCTGGTTTGCTCTTACTGAAAGTTGAACGTATCAAAAGACTTCGCAAATCAATTTGTTTTCATCCTTAAATACCACAGATGTTTGTCGGATGTTTGTTATACCTCTTTTATGTAAAGTAGGCTGCCTTATCACACTCCCAAAGAAGACTGGATATATGGGCTCCTCGGTTTTAGAAAACAAGCGATCTATGACTGTGAAATCAGAAACCCATTGACCTCAGAAATGCTAATCTGAGGTCACTTACCATCTTACATTCCCTGTGAAAGGGCAGAGGCTGCACCTAAGCAGCAGCTAGTATTTTCTCTCTGAATAGTGTTCCACCAAGTGAAATATACAAAAATGTAAGAGTCAGAAGCAGACTCACTTTAGGTGAATTATTGTCTGCAGCAGTTTGGGTTCAGCAGAATCATGCCCATAAACTTTTATCTAATAGAAAAACAAAACCTACTTAAGCAAGTTGTAATATTTTATTTTGTATAAATAGATTTTTATTAAAAGATTCAAAGAACAGTTAACTTAAGGAAGGCTTTTGTGTCCTAGGAATAGAAGGAAATTTAAGAGCAATTAGGAAAGTGTTCATAAACTTTCAAAAAATTGACACATTGCGAAGTATCTCAATAACTAGTGATTAGTTAAAATGATTAGTTAAAGTACATAGGCAAAGAAATTTCTATTGTGTCACCTTTTTCATTAAAATGTACATTAAACCTCTGCAACTGGGATGATTAGCTAAGTATGTGATCCAAGAAAGAAAACCGTGTAGAAACATTGTTTTTTGATCCAGCTGATGCAACTGTGGAAAACTGACTTTTCTTTTTATGTGGTCTTTAAAATGTTTACAGTGGTACTAAATGATTTCCAGCTTGTGTCTAACAAGAAATTAACTTTCTCTACATATCCCGTTGTGAATGTTAATTTGTTATTAGAATTTTAAATGCAAAATAAATTTCCTTTGTGACCATTATTTTTTATTTTTACTGGCCATAAACTGTAATAAAATCTATTTCTAGATTAGCAGAAGAGGATCTTACATATCTAGTTCACCATTAACAAGGAAGCTCCCTAAGACTTGTATTCTGTTTGAAAGAGTATTTAAAATTTTTTAAGAAGTTCAAATTTAGGTTTGCATGCAGCCTTTATGTTTGCAATTGAGGGAAAACCCACTGATAATCACTTCTTGTTAGTAAATTAACATTGCCAGGCTTGGTGGCCCATGCCTATAATCCCAGCACTCAGGAGGCTGAGGCAGGAGGATCATTGTGAGTTCAAGGCCAGCCTGAACTGCATAGTGGGACCCTGTCTCAAAAAGATGAAAAAAAAAAAAAAGTAAATTAACATCATACTGGTAATTATAGTTGCCAGCTCCTAAATTCTCACTCACTGTTAAATCTTTCATGTTAAGTGAATTTCTATGGCAGATATATATCATTATATATAGATATATCTATATCTCTCTATAGAGCTGTATATCAACATATGTATAGATATGTCTATATATGTATAGATATATCTATATCTATATAGGAACAAAATCTAGAGCTATTAAGTAATTTTTTCAAGGGTTCACACATCAGGGCCAGATTGCAAAGTACTGTTTTTCCACTATGGCACTTGTAAGAAGTTCTGATTTTAGTAATAAAGTATAGGTAATGTGAAAAGCATTTACAAATGGATTTCAAATGTATGCATAGACTTGTATTCTAGAATAGTTAGGCTGATCAAAATCCCTATGAAACCTAACTATGAAGGAGAAAGTAGAAGATTATGCAGTCAGTGACTAAATCTGGTACTCTTATTTAATCACATTGCATTGAAAATAGAGTTTTCACATGTACAGCATATAACTAATACTGTCTTTTATGAGACAGATAACGTGTAGGATTTAGGTTACTAGTGGCTTGTTAGGACTAAAGTAGATGTTTTCAGGGACTATAGATGTTAATAAAACATGTCATTTCATGACTGTAGGGTCAGATGAAATTCTATCCTCCTAATGCAGAAAATTAATATTTCTATTAACAGTTTTTCTTGTCTTTTGTTGCACTTTCAGTAATGGAAAAATCATTAACTTTTGGGGGGAGCTTTAAAAATTGAAGTACTACTTTCGTATTGTACAGTGAAATCTACTTTTGTCATAATATCCAAGTGATGGTCCTATCCTGCCCTCTGGTTTTATATAGGATACTGAATACTTCAAGTATAAAGAGTGGTGGTGAACCTATGTGAAATGTGCTGCAGCGAGCTGTTTGTATCATTGAAACTCTAAAAGGTTCACCATCACTGTATAAACCCTT